ATGTTTTCATAATCAATTGGATCATAAGATCTTTTCTTTTGATGCTTCCTATAATAGAGAAATTATATTTAATTTAGAGAAGTTCAAAATGTTACAAATGCCAACAAAAAAAATTTATACATATTAATAATAAATAATAATATTAACTTACCAATCTTTCAAACGCATGTTGTAAGTGATGTAAACATGATCACAAAGCCTTTGATTGTAATATCCCGACTTTTTATCAGTATAATAATATGTTAGTTCCGATATTATTTTTCGGAATTAATTATTTTCAGTTATTTCAGTAGAAATTACCGGAACTATTTTCGACGTACTGTTTACGTTCGGAATAATTTTGGTAATTTAGCATTATGTTTAATTGGATGATTAAACATAGTTAAGTGATTAATTTACATTAATCGCGAGATTAGCATTAAATGTTTGGATTTTTAATCTATTTAATGTTAATGCCGTGCATTGGATGCATAGTTGCCGTGTGTATTTATGTTATGGTAGTGTTAGTAATTTTTGTTATGTTCAAGTGATTTGGCCATGCAATTGCCGTGTGGTATGTGGGTGTTTTAGTTTTGGTCAAGATTCCCCCCCTTGTTTTTAGTGCCGTGCTTTTGTTGTGTAGCATGTGGGTTTTTTTTTCCAAGATGCTTCCCTCATTTGCCGTGCATGCTCAAGCATATCCGCCCCTTTTTGTCTAGCATTTCTCGTGACTATTGAGGCTAGACAACATGCATGTCTTTTTGTTGTTTAGTGTGTAGTGTCCAAGTTTTGCTAGCATGAGAGACATGTGTCCTAGCCTTTGACCTTATGTCTCCCCCACACCACCATGCATTCGGCCCCTAAGGTTAAATGGGAGACTTTGGAGATTTTACTCCACTTTCCTTCTCCTTCCATTTTTAGTGCCGAGAGTATAGTGAGCATTGTGTGAGTTGTGTATATTTTCGGAGAGTATTTTGTGAGTGTTGTGCGTGAGCACTACCGCCGAGAGCCATCGCGCAAGCCACGGACCACGCACGCTAGTCCAAGCCAACGCACGCACACACGCGGAGGTCACGGCCAAGCTCGGGAGTTCGAGTGATTTAGCCTCTTGAGTCTCATAAGAGGTAAGTTCCGTCTTCATTTGGCCGAGAGCATCATGGTTATGAAGATTAGATTTTTTTTTTATGGTCATGCATGCGTGTTATGTGCGTAGCCGTAGCCTTAGCCGTGCTTAATATCATGTTATGATTTTCATCGAATTCTCCGAACAT